GCTTCATACTTTTTCCCTTTAACTGCAGCGCCCATAGATTCCAAAATATGTCCAATATACAGACCTTGACAGAGATACTTCTGATTGTGCTTTCCTAGATGTTTTGAAATGGATTTGAAAAAGTGTGCAGCCCAGTTTACCTTAGTTTTGGTAATGAGAGAGTTGATGATGAAGGCTCTCTCCTGGGTGATGTCATTGGCATGACCTCCACTTCAACATTCGAGGCAGGCGATGACCAGTTCCAAAACCAACTTGTAACCGTTGTTTAGATCTGCTTTCTTCGCCGGGCCAGAAGGAATTTGCCCAGAGATTCCAATGATGTTCCAGTCCAGATTTTTGACTGGAAATTTCCCAATTTCAACTCCAGAATTGGGAAGGCGAAGCTTTTCTCCCAATTTCTTTTGCGAAAGCTTCACTTTTGTACCTCCGACATTGGACTTGATGACCGGAAACGTCCTCTGTGGGTCCTTCTTTGAATGAGCAGTCTTGACCTCTCTATTTCTGGAGAATTCAAGAACTTCTTCTTCGAATTTGAGGCGAATCTCCACTTGAAGAAATTCGGAGAGTTCTTGAGCGGCTATCATTTCCAGATAGCTTTGAAAGAATGTTGGTGACGAGCACTTGGCTTCTAACTTCTGGAAGTGGACATTTGCACCGACAACCTTCATTTTCTCAGAAATTTGAGTGAGAATTTGAGAGAGAAAGGCCTAGGGTTCTTGAGAGTTTTTCGTGAAGAAGACGACGCAAAATTTTGAATGGGCGGTTTAGATCTGAATAGTGGCGATTGGGTTTTATTTGAGCGATTTATGCGGCTAGTGGCGATTGGGTTTTTGACTATTCCCAAGGCCACGTGCCTACCCAATATTTTGACAGACGTGGAAAGTGAACTGCCACGTGTCCCGCACTCAGTCTAATTGAATTAGACCAATTTTGTGAAGCAAATCGGAAAACTTGGCTTCACTTAGTGGTTTTGTGAAGATATCCGCCAGTTGTTCTTCAGTTGAGATATACTCAATTTTGATATCTTTCTTTTCTACATGATCTCTGATGAAGTGATGCTTGACATCAATGTGCTTAGTGCGAGAATGATGCACTGGGTTTTGAGAGATGGCTATAGCACTTTGATTGTCACAAAAGATTGTCACTTCCTTTGTCTTGACTCCATAGTCCAGTAGTTGTTGTTTTAGCCACAAAATCTGAGCACAACAACTACCAGCAGCAATGTATTCTGCTTCTGCTGTTGATGTAGAGATGGAGTTTTGTTTCTTACTGAACCAAGAAACAAGATTTCCACCAATGAATTGACAAGTACCAGATGTACTTTTCCGGTCAACATTGCATCCGGCAAAGTCAGAATCTGAGTATCCTACTAACTCAAATGAATTGCTCTTAGCATACCACAAACCCATGTTCTGAGTTCCTTTGAGGTATCTAAGAATTCTTTTAGCTGCTATCAGATGACTTTCCTTTGGCTTTGACTGGAATCTGGCACAAACACCTACTGCATATGAGATATCGGGACGGCTTGCAGTAAGGTAAAGTAGAGATCCGACAATTCCTCTGTAGAGAGTTTGATCTACATCCTTTTCATCTACATCCATATCAAGCTTGGTGGATGTACTCATGGGGACAGAAACCGATGACTTCTGATCAACTTTGAACTTCTTGATAAGATCCCTTGTATACTTGGCTTGATTGATGAGAGTGCCTTTACTTCTCTGTTTGATTTGAAGGCCAAGGAAGTAGTTGAGTTCCCCCATCATGCTCATCTCAAATTTTCCTTGCATGAGGGTTGAGAACTTGGTGCAGAGATTTTCCTTAGTTGAGCCAAATATGATGTCGTCCACATAGATTTGGACTAATAGGAGATCTCCTCCTTCTTGTAGTTTGAACAATGTCTTGTCAATGACTCCTTTGGTAAATCCATTGTCTATAAGAAATTGAGACAATGTATCATACCAAGCTCTTGGTGCTTGTTTGAGTCCATATAGCGCCTTTTTGAGTCTATACACTTGATCTCCCTTAGTGTGTAACTCAAATCCTGGAGGTTGTTCCACATAAACTTCTTCCTC